TTGATATTTTATATTTATGTCAATTATTTATGAAGCGACATCCATCTGTGAAATATAGAGTCACTGATAATATGATAAACAAGTTATTTACCTAGAAAGATATTAGCTTCACGCATCAATAACTTGATCATTTATTTACATATGTGAAAATATGATGAAAGATAATTATCGAGCACAGCAATATAAAAGAATACATTTCGTTTTGTCTTCATACACTTTCAAACATTCCCACATTTTTATCTTTCTTTCTTCTGAGTGATTGCTCTTCAAAATAGTTTCAAAGTAGATGAATTCGAAGTAAGAAAATCAAAATAGTATATTTGACAAACGGAAGTCTATTATGTCACTATTATTTTAGATTGATTTCATTGATTCTTGCTCGATGAAAATATTTCATTGGACATGAAATATTTTCATCTGTTTTACAACTCTTTCGACTTAAACTGGAGTTATTCGAAACTTTCTATCAGAAATGATACATTTACTTCGTTTCTGTACTGAGTGATTTAATTATAGGGTAAATTTATGAGAAACGAACGATATTTTTGTAAAAAGAAAAAGACTTCCTTCATACCTAAACATATCACTAACCTATTATTGTCGTAAATTGCTAACATCTATCTTGACTGTGATTCTACTCTTTTTTGTTTTCAAAACATATTTTTCAACAATATAGTAAGCAAAACATACGATGAATGTAAGAAGAAAATTTTTGTTTACGAAAAATTTCGTTCACTTCTCATGAATTTATATAAAGCAAACTGTAAGTAGTACGAACTACAAAAGAAAGCTGTCTCACTGGAGATTAAAATGTAACTAAATATTTATTTATAATTATTTTGAAAATTTAATTATAAAAGTCAAGATATTTGAGATGAAAAATTATCTTCAATAGTAGAATGTGTAACATAGATTGTAGATTCGTATTTTAATGTAATGGTTAATTTGGTATAAATTTTTATAATTTTTGAAAAACCTTGTCATTGTTTAGAAACTTTTCAAAATTTTTCACAATCGAATGACTCGATTTCAAACTTTCTTTTATTAGTTGAAAGAGAATGAAATTATTTTCCAGTTTTATTGTATTAAATTGCAAATTAATTACACTACATATTATGTTAATTTATTTTAAAACTGTAACAATATTAATGAGAAAAATGTTAGGGATAAGTTTTGTTTTTGCACATCGTACTAAAATTAAATTAAGAACTGATAAGTTATTGAGAACCATACTAGTTATTAATGAATAGGTACTAGATTAGAAAAGATTTAATGATTTCTGAGTACTGAAAACTGAATATCTAATCAAGTACTAGTTACTCATTTGCTTTGCAGGACCAAGAATTTTCACGGATATATGAACAGTAGAAATTCCAGTTATTGGAATATGTCATTCATCAGACAAGTCATCCGTATAGTGGTATTCACCATTTCTCGGCTATGCAATCGCATTCATGCTGATGATAGTGAATTGGCATCTGATCACATAATAATTTGAGTGTAGTAAAAGTAAAGTTATAGATAGAACTGATCTGACTGTAGATAATGATATTCGAGTGGTTCAACTTTCAAGTGTTACTCATGATGTTTGTTTTACAAAACTTTTAGAAAAATAAATGGGCTATTACAGAAAATAATTTTTCGATAGTTCGAGTCAATTTTGAACTTTTTGTTGATAGTTATTTGTAGATTGGTAAAATTTTTTGCATATATAAAATACAGAAATGTTTTTGACTATCTTACTATGTTCGATTCCAATAATCATCGGTGCAATTTATTTGTACATCAAATGGAAATATTATACTCTACGTGGTCCAGTTCCTGGTCTAAAACCTGAATTTTTATTTGGTAACCTTCGTCAACTTGGAATTATTGGACCAAATCGACAATTAATTGATACGTATGATCGTGCTGCTGAGAAATTGCAAAGAAAATTTGGAGATATATTTCAATTTTGGATAGGTGCATTTCATTCTTATGTATTTTGTCGACCAGAACATGCCACACAAATTTATGATGATCGTCATATATTTGATCAGGGTAACATACATAAGGAAACATTTGGATTACTCAGTGAAAATCTTTTTATCGCAACTAAAGGTCCAAAACACAAACGACATGCTAGAGCAATTTTACCTATGTTAAAAAGAAATAAATTTCTATCGCAAATATCGAATATTATCGGTTGTGTCGATCAATTGATTCAAATTTGGAAAATTCGATATGAGAATAAAGATGACATTATATGTACATGTATATGGAGTGATAATCAGCATATGATGTTGGATATGTTTACATTATTAACATTCGATTATGATTTGGGCAATTTAAAGTATTTAGCTAAAGTAGCAACAGACTTCACTTCGGACGAAAAATATCAACCATCCGATTTTGGTCGAGCATTATTGATGTGGATCGATGGATACAAACGGGTTACAAGCAATGGTATGCCACTCATTGTCAACTATTATCTATTGAAATTTGATCGAAAATATCAAAATGCATTAAAAATAATTGATAATCATGTGGAACAAATTATTTCAAAATATCAAATGGAAATGAATCCGAATGATAAACCTGTCAATCTTGTTTCATCACTAATATCCTCATTACAAAAAGATGAAGCATTAGAAAGAACAAAAAGTGAAACTGAAAAAAGAGGAATTACAAAAAAAGAATTATCCGATGAAGTATTAGCAATGATTCTTGGTGGTTTTGATACGACATCAAGTATTCTATCATGGTTTATATATTTTGTAAGTAAGCATCCTGAAGTTCAACAAAAAATGAAAGAAGAATTAAAACAACATAATATTACACAAGATACATCATTAAATGATTTGCATTTACTCGATAAATGTGAATATACTGATTGTGTCATCAAAGAAACATTGCGAATAGTACCACTTATCATCGGTTCATTTCGAACAGTTACTGAAGATGTTACTGTTGATGGAGTCCATATTCGTAAAGGAGAAACAGTTCTTTCAGCATTCTCTTTGATGCACCGTGATCCAAGATATTGGAAATTAGATCCCACACAGTTTATTCCTGAGAGATTCTTTGGTCCAGATGCTCCTGATGCCAATCATCATCCGTACACGTTGGCACCTTTTGGTGGTGGTCATCGTACTTGTGCTGGACAAGATTTAGCACGATTAGAATTAAAGTTAATCGTTGTTCGTTTTATGTCATTCGTTACTTTTATTGATGCACCTGGAAATAATGGTGGTCGTTGTCAAGGGATGGTTGTTACACCAAAAGAACTAGCTGTTTACATCAAATTCGATTAATTTTTCAATATAATACTTAAATATTTTCGTAATATTCTTTCTATGCATAGTTTTAGAATGGAAAGAGTACTAATCATACATTGTCCTCTATTCCTTTTTTTTTTCATTTGAAGTTCTTTTAAAATAAATTTCTTCTTATAGATACGTATAATTACCGATTTAAATGGTGTGGGTGTAGGTGTCACATCTTCTTTAACTGATACCCACATCCGTATATGGATCAGAGATATTTTATGTTTATTGAGCAAGAGAAAATGTTTATAGTTATTCATATATGGTAGATAATATTTTGAAGCATTACGCTTAATTCTCAATAAAAGAGATGAATAATTAAGAAGCTATTGAAACGATGATTAAGATTTGAAAATGTTTCGTAAATTTCAAAACCATCAAGAAAATCAAATATTTCACTGACTGCTGGCGTAACTATTGTAGTCTTATTTCGTCGACAACTTCTTCATTGGATGGATCGTCATCTAATAATTAAGCATGTGATGGACACGTGGAGGTGCAAGTAATTGAGATCGCGTAGGAATATGGCAAACACCATGATGTTGATCTTCTTTTCATAGGCAGGGATGTCCCAAAGCTGATAGAAAGATTTTCACTAAAATTAACCGAGTTGCGGGATGACTAGCTTCTTTTAGAATTGGTGAACCTAAACAATGGATAAAACACATGAGCTTACGGGAGATCCTCCTCGAATATCCAATCGCTTTTTGACTGATGCGATCTTCTCTTAATGAGTAGGTGTTAGTCAGCAATACAAAAATATAGAATGGCTGGCTTTGTGGGCGTTCGTTTTCGATATATCGAAATTTTAGTACATTTTTGAATAAAAAGCTGTGGTTCTCCGGCAGATCATGTGTACAATCAACTTTTGAATTTCACATTCAAACTTATCACAAATCGAGTTCTTAATGAAACTGGTGGATTGTACAAGTTTTAGCTTTTCTAGTATCTCCTATTTTGAAATATTCAATACTCGGGTGTATGGATGTGTGTGAAGAAAATATCCACACGCACACGCACACCCCAATTTAATTTGAAACTCAGGCGAAGTTTAATATAGTTTGATACATGATCTTTGCTTTTATTTTTGTTCTTGTTTAAATGACATAAACCATCGAAAACAATTTGTTGAAACTGTGGAAAAAAAGCATTTTTTTTGTGTGTTTTCGGTTTTTCGTTGTTTAAGTGTTTTGAGTGTATCTCCGTCAAAACAAAAACGTTTTGAAAAATGTTTTAAAGCAAAATGCTTAGCAATGAAAGCTGTTAAGATGAATAGAAACTGAAAATTTGAGTTAAAAATAATTATTTCATTGAATTCTAGTTTCAAGTTTGGCACTACTGGGAAGGGAAGTTGATGTTAGCAACTACATTGTATTACTCTCGTTAATACGAAAGCACCAATTGAATATTGCTTTTCTTCCTTTTGTTCTTTTCTTATATCTCTAATAGGACGATGATACGACGAAGAAAAGAATGGACACATGCTTGAATAAAATAACCGAAAAACAAAGAAGCAGGAAAAAGGGAAAACCGTTATAATTGAACACTAAAAATGCTTTCAATAAAGGAGAAAATCGACGCGGCGCTTGAAATTTATTATATGGCAGCATCTAACATAACTAGGGTGTGGGTGTATCGGTAGGAGAAGACCCACACCCTTCTTTTATTAGTTTTAAAATAAAAATCTATTGATTGTCAAGATGAATAATTTCCATTATAAATAAAACATTTTTTAAATGTATTAATTTGCCATTGACTACTATAATCATTATCTTTATGTTTATGATCTAAATTATGAAGCATTTCATGTACAATAGTTCCAGTCCAATATACTGAATTCCCAATATCTTTGTTCGACGCATCGATATTATACCGATTTAATTTAACTTGGAAATCTCCTTCGATTGAAAATATTGATCCATGAGAAATACATTCAACAGTTTCTTTAGCTTGTGTTTCAGTTTTTTCCTACATTGGATATATATGAATAGTGAGAAATTGAGCATTTTCACTTTTCATTTTCAGACACATTAATTGAAAACGTAATAAATCATGCATACCATGCTAGTTTTTATCATTTACTAGTTGAGAACGAGACCATATTCTTGCTCCTAGAAATTCACCTGATGTACCACAAATATTATACATGTTTTGTAAGATTTTTGGTTTGAATAATCGATTAGCAATGATTTCTAATGAGCATTTCTTCATTCGATGTAAAACGTTGATGAATTTTGTAGTCGATGCGAAATAATGGTGTGTTATTGCACGATGTCAGTGACTGTGAATTTGTTTTTTCTAAAGTAATATGCGTTATTTGAGATTGTCCTGGTAATAGTTGATTATCATCGAGCACTGAAGGAGAAAATGATTGATTAATATTATAATAAGCCGGTATTATTATTGATTGTTCATAGTTTTCGCCAGTTTTCTATAATATTATTATAATACGATATAATTATGCATAGAAGTATAACTTACCGTAGTTGGAATATGGTTGAAAGAAACGACCAAAGCTATTAACACAGACATTTCTCGTATTGCAATTGGAATATTTCTTTCCTGTGAACTATTATATAAATACAAAACTCTAACATGTATGTTGTGACGTCATATCGATATTTTATTTAGCATCGATTTGAGTGTCATCATCAAATGAGTAACATAATGTGTTTTTAGGATGTGAGGTGTACGGTGTGAGTGTGGGTACCAGTATCTCTTTATGACCGCACACACGCACACCCATACCCCAATAAAAATCAGAAAAACTTATTGATTATTTATTAGATTATGATTCATGTATAATAACTAATATTTTCTTTCTGATTAGCAATCTCTGTCCAATATTGTCTATTTTCATTGATGATTTTAAAGTGATTGCTTATTTTATTTTTCAATTTAATTTATTTTATTGATAAAGAAAATCACTCTTTTTAACTTAACGTGAATAAATTTCAATTTATAAATAATAATTGATTGATATTCTTATAATATGGAGTGCAAATTTAAATTTCAGTGTTTATTCGGTTATATATATATATAATTACATAGACTGACTAAGACAAACGACATAATGATTCATTCTCACATTCACAACTTCAAAGAAAATGTATGTTGAGTTGTGTAATGAAAATTGAATATATAAAAATTTCTTATTATTTTCATTGAAAATATAAGATTTTATATTAATTCAAAAAAGAAATTCATTTTATAATCTTTATGAAAATTATTTAATCAATTAAAACACTTCTATTTAGTCAGACATTGATATATGATTATGTTTGTCTATAGATCAAATATAAGATATTATTCATACATTAACACTCATTATAATTTATTATCTTTACACAAGAAAATTAAAAAAAAAGCTCATTTTAATAAATAAAAGAATATTTTTGTTTTTGTCTGACTATGATTGTTTTTATATAGATGAAAATAAACTGTAACAAATAACAAAAAAATATGTTAATGAGAAGAGTTGTTTGAAGATTTTAAATGAACGAGAAGAACACGTGATGATAAATAAAAGTCATAAATATAATTGTTCAATTATATGAAAAGTTGATCTTTCAACAAAGTTGTTTATTAAATTTAATAAATTTGAATAATGTTAGGGATGCACCAATTCTTAGAACATAATTTCAAAGAGGATATTTTTTCCTATTAAAATTGCAGTTACTTGTGAACTTTTTATGTCAGTTAAAACCAACTTTTTTCGCTCTATCCGAATCTATAGTCGAAATTCATGGAGTGTGAAACAAAGGTTTCAGAATTGGTCTGGAATTGGTCGAAAAAAACCAAAAATTGCCAGTTTTGACCAATTCCAGACCAATTCTGAAACCTTTGTTTCACACTCCATGAATTTCGACTATAGATTCGGATAGAGCGAAAAAAGTTGGTTTTAACTGACATATAAAG